CGATGCGTGGGAGAGGGCCGACATTCCTGATCGTCTGCGCGTTGAGCTTGCGATAATCGATGCACAACCGCAAGTCCTTGTTCTTCTTCCGGACGAAGAGAACAGGAGCACCGTATGGCGATGAGCTAGGCCGAATCCAGCCTTTCTCTAGAAGGTCGTCGAGTTGTGTCCGAAGCACACTTAACTCTTCCTCGCTCATTCGGTAGATGCAACTGCACGGAGGTACGGCCCCGCCCTCGAGGATGATCTCGTGGCGGATGGGTCGATCCAGTACTACTCCGTGCAGGTCTTCGAACACGTCGCTGTASGCGTCGAGAAGTTCGGTGATGCGTGGATCCGAAGGTGAGTCCGTCGATGAAGYGTCATGTGGCGGGAGGGCGTGGAGAAAACACACCCCCATCTCCTCGATGTCATCTCAGATGATGGAAGCTCACATGCTTGCGGCGGATACCACGTGGCAACTGATCGAAGGATGAGGAAGAGGCACCGTGCATGGAACTAATACTCCGTTCCGATCACGAACGTGAACGGTGCGGTTGAARAAGTTCACCGGGTGATCYTMGCTTCGCAGCCATGACATGCCCAAGATCATGTCGAATTTGGTGTCCAGAATGTCAAAGGACACCGCCTCACTTGCGTGAGGGGCAAAGTACACTGGGACGGCGTCAATGCACCGGTCGATGGACTTGTGCGTATGGCCGTCTGCCAGGGTGACTTGCGTAGGCTGGGACTTCCTCCGGACACTTAGGCCAAGGCCAGCGCGTACCATGAAGTCCTGTCTGATGTAGTTGCGAGATGCTCCGCAATCGATCAAGGCACTGCAGGTCGCCTCTCCGATCTGAATGCGTATGTATAGCAATGGTGCATTGATGTCGTCGTACCATTGCGTCTTGAACTCTTGGTTGATCTTCGCGATGAAAGCGTGAAGGTCGACAACCTCTACTCCGGCGTCCATCAACGGAGCTGGTACTGCAGTGTGCAAGTAGTCCCGCAATTGTGCCATAAGCACGTTGCAATGCGGTTTCGGCAATCGTCCGGTCGAGGGAACGGGCATCCACTGGAAGTCCGTGAACGTCAACGGGTCAAGCTCATCAAGTCTAGACCATGACGTCGAATCCCCGGCGATAGATTGCGGCGAAGCTGCCGAATCGGTTGCCGATGGTGATGAAACCGTGCATGCGGTGGACTGTTGCACGTGGAGCGGTTGGTCCAGCTGTGGAACCAAGTGGACAGCATAATCCTCGTAAGTATACCGAGGACTTGCGACATGCGCATCCTCCCCAGATGTGCAAGAGGCCGCTAGCAAGGCGGCCGAATCTGGCGGAGTAGAAGGTGGAGTCGCCTCACCTTCCGCGGAGCTCAGTTTCCCGAGCTGAGGCGGGGTCGCACATCCTCCTTGCCCTGATCTTGGCACAGGGAGGTCTTGTGCTTGGTGMTGTTGCACCAATAGCAGCTGCCGTAGCGGCCRCRRRCCTTGTACTCCGCCTCGGTCAAGCCAAACTTGACCCATGGAAACTGTCCTGGCTGTCCATTTCCGGCCTGCGATGCGGATTTCGCCTTCCCATTGTTGTGGGACTTGCTGGTGCTTCGCGGCTGGACAGCAGCCACCTGATCTCCGTCACTTGATGCTGGAGTGGCTGCTCGGTTATCTCCACTGTCCGACTGGACTGCAGTGAACTGCTGCTGTCGCAGACCAGTTTGTACCTTCTCCACATAGGTTGGCTGCCACGTGGACTTCTCGTGTGCAGCCGGCCTGTTAGTCTTGATGAGCTCTCTCGCCTTGTTGATTATCTCCGCGAAAGTGTTGTACTGCTGCGATCACCAAGTGCGAGGCTGGGAGCGGCGCATGACCTGTTGTAGAACTCACGCCGCATATGCGGAAATGACAAGTCCAAATCGAGCATTGCCACGATTTTCTGCCAATCCGTGAGCCAGTCACGTGTCGGTGTGCTCCCTTGAGCCATCGTGAAGATGCGGTTGACGACGAGTGTCGGGGCGCCGTCGACGATGAACCGCTTCTTGCATTCCTTTGTCATGTCTTCCCAGGAGACCTTCTTGTACAGGTCTGAAACCTGGACGTCGTGGATGGTTGCCATATGGCTGAGCCAGATCTGACAACCTCCCTTGGTGTTGATGAACAGAGCACTGATGAACAAATGGTCAGGGACTTCGTGAATCCCCAACTCCGTTGTAAATCCTTGCCACCAGACGACCGGGTCTTGATGCGTGTAGTCATCAAATTTCTCGATCCGGAACGTCGGCATCTTGTATGGCCTCGCCKAGCTGTTGTTGTKGYKGTGGTCAGTCTGYTGTTGCTGACTGATCTTAGTGTCCAGCAACTCGAACCGCTGGCTGATGGTGGCCGGCTCTGTGAAGACACTTATGTCTCCTAGCATTGCCACTACGTGGTCAACGCGTTCCTCCAGTTGGCGGCTAGAGGATGCACTGATGGAAGCTCCAGCATCTGGTCCTGGTACAGCCTGTTCCAGGTCCAGTACACGGGCTTCCAGTGCCCGTGTGGCATCCTCGTGCTGAGTCTTCTGATTCCGCACGGCCCGCTGTAGGTTTGCCAGCTCGGACTGTAGGTGGTTACATGTGTAAACCAACCTGCTCACGAGCTCGGCCAGGAACTCCTTATGCTGCTCTTCCGGTGTTGGCTCGTCGCCGTTTGGTTCAAAATGCCAGTACTTGAGTTTCTCGATGCTGCTGGCTTCATGCCGCTGCAGCAGAGCCTGGGCTTCCTTGCGGCGATCCTGGGCATCTGCGTCTGCTTCGGCCTGTAGCCGCAGCTTCTCTGCTGTTGCCGCTTCATCAGCCTGTAGCTGGGCAGCCTTGACTGCCAGCTGGCGTTGTTCCTCAGCCTCGATTGCCGCGAGCTGAGCACGGACGCGCTTTTTGTAGTCGGCAATGGGCTCATTGGCCAGTTGGCCTGGCAGGCCCGTCATGTTGCTGATGTGGCACTGCTGACGTGGCACTTTGTCTGATGTGGCACTGCTGATGTGGCACTGCTTTCGTGGCACTGTCTGACGTGGCACTGCTGATGTGGCACTGCTTACGTGGCACTGAGTCTGACGTGGCACTGAGTCTGATGTGGCACTGCTGATGTGGCACTGCTTATGTGGCACTGTGTCTGACATCACTGCTGACATGGCACTGAGTCTGACATGGCACTGTGTCTGACATCACTGCTGACATGGCACTGAGTCTGACATGGCACTGTGACCTGACACTGCTGACGTGGCACTGCTGATCTGGCACTGTGACGTGGCACTGCTGACGTGGCACTGTGACCTGGCACTGTGACGTGGCACTGCTGACATGGCACTTCTGATCTGGCACTGTGAGGTGGCGCTGGTGACGTGGCACTGTACCGAACCGGGATGCATGCAAGGGGTGGGTGGGAGGGAAAACGTAGGTAGGTAACCAACCCAACAGTACTTTCCTCCGGCCCTAATCAACAGATAAAATAAAAAAATAAAAAATAAAAAAGACGACTTCCTTTTTTTTTTTTTTTGTATATATCTGTCGATTTATGATGAGTAGGATATGTCAGAAGAGTATTATGAACGAGATCTAGGCTAGGTGCCGCAAAGTTTCAGCTTTTACAAACTGCGATCTTGAAAAAAAAATAAAAATTGCGAAATGGAGTAAAGATGCGATTTTCAGAAAAGAACGAAATCCAGTTTCTGAGAATATAGCAACCTCCGAATATGCCTAACGCAATATTGGTAGGCTTCGCAAGATTCGGTTTTCAAAAAAAAAATTTGCGAGATAGAATGGAAATGCGATTTTCAGAAAGAATAATTTCAGTTTCCGAGACTATGACCACTTCTATCGTTATCCCAATATGCCTAGAGAACGAAAATACTAACTTCAGAAATTTCAGCTATGTATGCGAAATATTAGAGAAACGAATTGCTTCTATCGGGAATTTTCAGACAAAACGAAATGCGATTTATCAGAAATTTTCAGATATTTGTCACGTAAAAACGAACTACTAATATCAGAAATTTTCAGATAGAACGAAAATGCGAATATCAGAAATTTCAGATAGTTGTTGCGAGAATTCTTTTTTTTCAGAGATTTGACTTAGTCCGACTTGCGTTACTAATGAGTGATCAATAGATCGCAAGCTGGCTACTTGATTGAGCGGGTCCTCTGAATGAGAGGTCCGCTCCGATACGAAACTGTTGCATACTGTAACGTGCAGACCAGAACAAGAACCGACCTTTCAATAYAAAATATAAGATAGCACAACGGAAGACTTAGATACCAGTGATCCGAACAATCAATGTTGTAATGCAGTCCTGAACATACATCATCATCATCGTTACATGGTGTGAATGGGCCTGGCGCTTCACACAGGAAGACAGCGCCAGCCCGTACCATACACAGACGAAGAGGAAGGGGATAGACGAAGAGGAGGGGGAAGATGGGAATGTCGCCAACACCAAGTCTTCGGCACAAGCCCAAATAGTCCCGCGTCGAAATGTCTGAATCCCAAATGTCAAGTCTGGATCCAATGTTGCCAAGTCTCAAGTCACAACTCTGTCTCTCTCTGTCGTAGTCTGAGAAGTCAGGTGGCGAGAGGGTGAGAAGAGAAGGTGGACTTAGAAGAGGAAGAAGAAGAACTCTCTCTCTCTCTGTGTCCAGTACTAACCTGTGAAGTTGGAGCCTTGATGCAGGTACCACGAAGATGGAGCTGGAGCGATGGCGCCACAGGTAAGTATCGCTGGCCTCCGCCAGCCTCTCTCTCCCACTCTACGATCTACCACCTACCAGCGCCCAGCGCTGAAGACTACAGCTACAGCTATGGCGCCCAGCGCCGAAGACTACAGCTAGCGCTAATACCTACTGCCTAGCGCTGAAGACTACTGCAGCGCTCCTCCTGAGTACTGCGGCTGAAATCCTGAAGACTACCCCTGCCTACTGACACTACCTACCCGTGAAGTGCATGGGAACTTCCTATGTACTACGGGTGTGCCTCCTGAGCCTGCCGAAGGGAGGCAGGGGCTGCAGCTGCAGCTCCTGCTCAAACTCGTGAGGAACAGGCTATTTCTGGCCTGTTYCGCATCCCTGTTTACGTGCCTGAGTCTTAGGGGCAGGTCGAAACAATGAGGGCCTGAAAATGGCCCTCCGTTTCAGGCTGAAAACTCTGGGTCTGGAAAGACCCAGAAATAGGCTGAAACGGGGTAGGGCCTGCAGGCCCTCGTTTTTCAGCTTCAGGCTGAAACAAACGGGGCCTGTAAGCCCTAAGTTTTAGGCTTTTAGGCTGAATGTCTGGGGCGGGCCCTGCAGGGCCCGTGTGGCTACGCAGTATGCCACACTGACCCTGGTTCGGGTTCGTCTTCGAATTCTTCCGTAGGATGCGCTTTAGTTACTGGCCCAAACGTTTTTTCGATTGCTTCTCGGAAAATTGACATCAATTGCAGAGGGACCCTTGGACATCGTACCCAACAAATCTTTGCTCCAACTTCTTTGAAAATCTTCATTTCGGCCAAGGTCATCCAGGGGTAGAAACGCACCTCATATTCTTTACCATCACATTCGATGCTGTCCTCCTGCTTTTCTAACATCCATTTGATGACCTTTGCCTCTGACCAAACAAAGGAGGCCAAATTTTTTCCTTCACTTTGATAGCGACCCCGTTTTACTGTATCCTCAATAAGCACAGTGTCCTACCACGCATTTTCATAAACTCGAACCAATTTCTTTTTCACTGCGTTCGAAAGAATTTTGGCATCGTTCATGAAAATTATGGTCACAGCGTGCTTTTTCAACCATGCTGTGCTATAATCCGAAAAGAGTTCGTTCAGGTCAAAACGAGCAATGTCTTCCCCCACCTGAGCTACCCCAATATTCAAACCGGCCGGGAAGATGCCGTCCTTACAGCATGCATCCATAAGAGCGTTTATTTGTTCTTTCTCTTCTTGCGAGTACTCTTTCTCCGGTGCATTTTGACTCTGCATGTCCGTATTGGGATTCATCTTTGACCGTTAAATATCGCGGCGACTATCAATGGAGCAAAACCAATCCGTTTCCCCTAACAACCAGAAGGTACAGGTCATATAGGGTAGGGAACGAGTTCCACTTTACTTCCTATTGTCACATATCCCCTATCGTAGGGGGTTTCTTCTTCAGTCTTCTGTGGTCTTCTCATGTCAGCTGTCTTCTTCACCGTCACTCGGGTAGAGACATCAATAGGCGGGTTGCATAGTCACCAGGCCGCTACAGGGAGGGCCCGCCCACTCCTAACAGGGGGTGTTGCCTATTCTAGGTGAATAGCAGCGGGCCAGTCCACTACCATCATAGCAGAGCTATGCTGGTCAAGCGGCGCGAAGACAATCCTCGGGATTGTCGAACAAGAACCGTGTCGTCGTGACAGCCGCGACCGTGGCGGCGCCTGGGACCGCAACCCCCCCCCCATGCCACACCATCCCTCGCGGGTTTTCCAGCCGCCGTCCGGTGGGGTCCACCTCTTGTTGTAATGAATTGCTAAGTAGGTTGTAAAACAAACGAAAAAAACTCTCGACCTTTCCGTTCGAGTTCATGGCGCTCTCGCACAAAACAAAACGCAATTGGGAAAGATTTATTAGAAAGAGAAAAAGCAAGAGATCCACAGCTGGAGCGCCATACGCACGCCCGCCCCACGAAAAAGATTCTCTCCTTCGTCCCCTTTTGTTCACGGGCGCGGACGGTTGGGCGGCTCCGCGTACTGTCTATTTTTTTTTTTGTTTTTTTAATTACTGTCTGTCAATTTATTCAATCTAGTGCGCGTCCGGAGTCGGACAAAGAATCGGAGACCAAACGGGCCGCTCTGGTCGTCCCGTCGGCACGGGATCGCGAGGGTGAGAACTACCGGTAGCGCGACAATCGTCATTGGCCATTGCTTGTCGCCCATCGTTACCTACTCAGCGGGGGAAGAGAGCAGCTGACGGAATGTTCGGGCCGCTACGCTGAGACGGCGGCGGAGCTGTGCTGAGGGACGTAGGCTGGTTCTCCTCTCTTTTCTCGCGTACTCGACGTCTGGCTGCCTCTCCCTGTCTCCCTTGCTTGTCTGTCTCGCTCTGGCTATAGGTCTTTTTCTTTTTCAATTCGGTGTTGTCGTCGCCGCGTTTTCCTTGGACATGCATCCGCTTTCGTGGCACGATCTGCGGATTCGACTAAAGGCAAACGGCGGCGGCTTGTCCGAGCAAGGCAAGCCGGCGGCGGCTTGTCTTTCGACCGACGGCTAGGTTGTTGATATTGGAGGCACAGCTGATAGAGGTGTCGGATATCGCACTACTCGAGTATTGATTCGTGCTCATTGATGCTGATCGGCTGCCGGCTGCGATCGGTTTAAAGGTTGCCGGTTGCAGAAGTTCGGACTTTTTGTTGTTGTTGTTTTTTTATCGGACTTCTTTTCCCCTACTTCGCCACCCATTGCACAAAGTTTTCGGTCTCAGGCATGTGCCCCTCCTTCGGCGCCCATTGCACAAAAGTTTTCGGTCTCAGGCGCGTGGGCAATGATTCTGTTATCGATTCCATCATTATGGTGCTGTGACGCGTGGAAAGACCTGTAGCCGTCGTTCTGCTGTTTTCGCGTTCATGATAGCTGTGGGGCTAGGTCCCACTTACACGAAACTAAGCGATATTGACCGTCGATAACAAAGATCAACGGCCAGAATCTCTTAATCCGTGCAAGTGGAACCTTGCCCCCGTTCTTTTTATAACGCTCTTCGCAACAGTACTGTTTGTCGTCAGTCGCACACTCAACCCTTGACCCAGGTTTGTGTGTTGTAAGCGTATAGGCCGTTAACTTAAGCGTGGTCCGGGGCTAGGTCCCATTTTCACGAATTAAGCGATATTGACCGTAGATAGCAAAGATCAACGGCCAGATTCTCGTAATCCGTGCAAGTGGGACCTTGAGAGACACAGTAAGGCAGCAAGAGAGGGGGTAGCTTTGCGAGCCAGGCGGTGCATTTCTGGCAGGACTCGATAGAAGTCGCTGGAAGGTCGATTAGTAGATGGAGGAGAGCTGGAGAGGTAAACCCTATGACTCTATGAGTATGGGCCTCGCTGCACTACTCTCGACATGCACAAAAGATGAAAAACATGGCGGTGTATCTTTCCATATTCTAGCGGAAGATTCACTCTCGTTTTGCACATTTCGAGAGTAGAGCAGCGAGGCCCTATGAGTACGGCAAGAGAGCGACGACCTACTGTAGATTC